AGCTAAGCAGGAGAGTGTCTTAAGAATGATCAATTTTCAATTTTTGAAAGAATCGCTTACAACAATAATTTAGCCAGTCCAGGCATGGCTTAATGAAGGAAAACACAATTTAGACCAATATTTTAATTTTTACTACCAAAATTTTGATGCTTGAGATGAGACATGAATGCTAATGATCTCAGAAATATAGTTATTAATTTAGAATTAAGAGGTATATACTAGTTACAGCCTACAAGTGTTTATAAAATATTGAAGCTGGGTTTGGTGGCTCAGCCTGTAATCTCGCGCCTTGGGAGGCTGAAGTGAGTGGATTGCCTGCGCCCGCGGGTTCGAAACCTGCCTGGGCAACTTGGCGAGACCTCATCTCTACAGTAAATCAAAAAATTAGCCTGGTGTTGGTAGCGCGCGCCTGTAGTTCCAGCTACTCGGAAGGCTGAGGCAGAAGGATCGCCGGAGCCCAGCAGGTCGAGGCTGCGGTGGCCGGGAGCGGCCACTGCACTCCAGTCTGGGCGACAGAGTGAGACTCCGACTCAAAAAAATAAAAATAAATAAAAATAAAATAAAATATTGAGAAAAAAATCGATACTGAAGAAAAACATCAATATATGAAGCAAATTTCTCCAGTCTCATTTATCTGATAATGGACTAAATCTATAATGCAGTATAACCTCAACTTTTCAACTACTTGAAAAATCTAAAAATATAAAACAGGTTTAAAGTTCCCACTCATGCTCACATGTGAATAAAAGCAGTTTTGCTTGTTTTCCATAACAAGATTCAACATGCTTATCAGCCTCCGTTACTTCTGATGGCAGAAAAGCCTAACCTTGAATGACAGCTAGCTGATGCCAATTTTAAACTTAGTGTGCCATTGTGTAAATATTGGGTGATGTTGTGATGTTCTCTTCTATTTTTTCCTCATCCTGAGCAGATGACTAGCTGGGTGGGATGTGTATTGTCTTGCATTGCGGGAAGATTGCTGTTCACCAGTTCCATCTGGTTTGGGGGCATGGCAGCTGTTGTCTGTGGTACCCTCCACCGCCGAAGGCTGTGAGGCATAGTCACTCATACTCTCCCAGGTCTCTAAATCCACCCACCCGTCCTTAGGACATTTCCTGAGAGCCTCAGCCCATCTCTATACCCTAACCTCCTGGTCTCATCCATCTGGGGACCCTCACACCATGCTGGAGTGACTCGGTCATTGTGAAGCAGCCTGCAGGCCCTTCTGCACTGTCACTTTTCCCCAGCCTTGGCTAATCTGTCTCCTCCCCCACTGCTTTACCCTGAGAACATACTGCCCTCGAGACCACTCCAATAGACTGGCAGCCAACACCGCTCTGGGAATCTGAACAGAAGGGCTTTTCTGTGTTTCCCCAGATCTTTCTTACAATCTCTCTCTCCATCCACCCAACTCTCATCCAGTTTCAGTCCCCCAGAGAGAACAGAGAGCAGACTTTACTGCCTAACTGTAGTTTTGTTTCCACCAGATTTCTCTAAAATTCTCCACTCAGACTAGGAGAGATTATTTCCCTCAGTGTAATAGGAAATTACAATTTTTAAATAGACATTATCCTTCATACTATTTGACTTCTGAAAAAAAACTCTCTACCTTGAATTGTTCAAGAACTTTTTTTTTTTTTGGTTATTTAAAAGAGTGGCTTTTTCTCTCTGTTTTAAAAATATTGTCCTTGCAGCTAATATTTTCTTAAATCTTAACTGAGTAGATCATTAAAAGTTTTTTTTTAAATGGCAAACATGCAAATGAAAAAAATAAAATTATCATTCAATGTTTAAAATTATAAAAATGGATACATGAAAGTAGCAAATATTTAATTATATTTTTACATTACACATTTGATTTATGCAAAAAAGTTGCAAATCCAAAATGGATCTTTTTTAAATGTAAATGATTCAAACTGAAAATATTTGAATACTGCAATAAATTAATGATGATTATGTAACTTATCAAAGAAATATTTTTGCAAAATGTTTGTGGAATTAAAAAACTCATTGGTAATTTAAAATTTTCCATATTATTTTTAAAGATTTATGAGCAATTCATTCATACAGGAGAAGGTAAAGCTCTCTTAGTTTTTCTCAGAGACAAATCTAGACTTGATCTAAGTATTTTACAAAAGAAAACTAGAGCTCAAAGTAATTTACCACTTAAAATAGGAACACATATATTTTAAGATAAATAGTACCCAAAAGAGATTCAGTGAAAAAAAAAAAAATCTGTTAACTCATGATGGATGTGGTAGTGTAATTTAACCCATCGGTAAATCAAACATAAAATAGCCTACAATCTGTCACATGGATTTTTGAAATAGTGATGTATAAAACTAAATGCTCATCCTTATTTCAAATAAATTCATAAATTCATAAATGTGTAAAATAGTAGAAGGATATTCCTTAATGTGGAGTCAGAATCAGCATTATGTGAATTTGAGAAACATAAATTTTTGTTTTGTTCTATGTTGTTATTGTTTTTGATGTTATAAGATTCTATACCATTATTATTGTTTAATATTGCTTAAAAAGTTTTGGGTAAGGCTTAGGAAGTTTTGACCAAGACAATAAGATAAGAAAGAAATGTATAAAAATTGATTTGGAAAGAAAGTTGTTTTGTGTGTATCATATGATTACAGTTATACCTCGGTGATATTGTGGATTCTGTTCCAGACCGATGAAGTCAAGTGAATATTGCAATAAGAAAGTTATACAAGTTCTGTGATTTCCCAGTGCATGGAAGAGTTATGTTTATATTATAATGTAGTCTATTAAGTGTGGACTAAAAGTCTTGTTTCTACAAAAGCAGTGTACATATCTCAATTTACGAATACTTTATTGCGAAGAATATGTTGGCACAAAGACACAAAGTGAGCAGACTCTGTTGGAAAAATGGTGCCGATAGACTTTCTCAAACCCGGGTTACCACAAACTTTTCATTTGGTAAAAAAATACAATATCTGTGAAGTGCACCAAAGCAAAAACATGTTATGAGATATTACTTGTATATTCTTCACAAATTTAAAGAGTGCGTGATTTAATATAAAAGTATATACAAGTAACTAGATAGAGAAAATAAATTAGCACTCATAGGGTGGGCATAACATTTACATAGTAAAATATTTAATGAATTAAAATAACATATGCTGTGGGATTTTTTAAAGCATGAAATATATAGGAATTAATTTAATGATGAGTATATGGACTAGGAAAGAAAATAAGAACCTCAGGTGAGGGACCTTATCAGAAATATTTTGAAAATAGAAAACAACACCGGGCTGAGCATGGTGGCTTATACCTGTAATCTCAGCACGTTGAGAGGCTGTGGTGAGAGGATTACTTGAGGCCAAGAATTAGAGACTGGCCCTGGCAACAAAACAAGATACCATCTCTACAAAAGAAAAACACTAGCCAGGTTTGGTGCATGCCTATAATCCCAGCTATTGGGGAAGCTGAGGCAGGAGGATTGCTTGAGTCCAGGAATTCAAGGTTGCAGTGATTTTGCCACTGTACTCTGGCTTGAGAAACAGAGGGAGACCCTGTCTCTAAAAAAAAAAAAAGAAAAAGAAGAAAAGAAAAAAGAAAGAAAGAAAAGAAAAAGAAAAAGGAAGAAAACAACAACAGCACTAGGTTCTTGGGGAGAAAAATGAAATATTTCAAAAAATAAATAACTATTTTTCTCCAATTAAATGTTTTAATTGAAATAATAAATTATCAGCCAAAATTCCAACAAACTGAAGTTATTCAAAATTAAGTTTTAAAATGAAGTAGATAAAAATATTAAATAATTATCTTTAAAAATTAAGCTGTGGAAAGTAAAAGTGAGTAATAGAATTGCTAACCTTCATCACCTATTATAGTGCATTAAGACGCATTTTTTAAGTGTGGAGTTTGTAAAAAGAAAAAATAGACATCTAGAAATAGTCTGTGGTATATCAGTACCTATTCATATGAGGAAAAGACACTATGATTAGGAGACCACATTTTCATGAAACATTGAGAGACAGAGATAGAGAAGTTTCCAAATATAGACATAATTTAAGTACATACTGACAGTTATATTTCAAAGAGTGGAGAAAAATGAGTTTCTCATTAAATGGTGTTGGAATAAACATGATCACAGAAAGTATCCTGCTTCTCTAGTGTAGTAACAAAGATATTCCTAACAGGGAAGGTTTGCTTTTTAAATAGCATATATATTAAATAAGTAATCAGTGTTAATAATAACTGGAAAGGAAATCGCAAAGAACACTTGTATTCCATAACCTTTCCAGAATAAGCCATTATTAACAGTCCCAGCCTATATGGTATGCACCACTTTTTATTGCTGACAGCATACTTCACACCCAATTATAACTCGTGGAGTTTTCAATGAACATTTCACTCATGTCCCATTTTATTGCAAATGTTTAATAATCGTTATTGACAATTAAGATTTTATCACACGGGTTCTCCATCATTTGCGTCACAAAACTATATGGGACACTCGGGTTATTTCCTATTTTTTATCTTCGTAGATGACAATTTGGGAACAATCTTGCACATTAGGCTTTTGGGGTACAATGTAGGCTTTTAAACTAGGTCTTTTTGTAGCTGAATGGAGGTATGTTTTATATGTCCCTTGGCTATAGTATGACCATATCCTCTAGGATGGTTGCAATAAGAGATAAATATAAAGACATTAATTTTCTTTTCTATTTTTTTCTCCTTCTGTAAATTATTGTTTTATTGAGTATTAAAAAGGTTCAGAAAGGAAGTGAAAATGGTTTTGTAAAATAAGCCCTTAAGAAGCAAGCAGTTACAGTTATTTTTACATGGGCTAATCAGTATCCTTTTAAATGTGTAATCAAGTGGCATCTATAATTATTTGAGCCACTGGCTCATGCATACAATTGAATCTACCAAAATGCACATGTTTACTTTCCTTTCCTGTTCCTTCAAAGTTTATAACTAAGAGTTGATTTTTATTTCCTCCCCCACCCCCCATAAAGCTTAGTTTTGGAGGAATTCCAGTACCGGGCAAACCTGGGACCTTTTTAAAGAAAAATTTCCATGGATGTATCGAAAACCTTTACTACAATGGAGTAAACATAATTGACCTGGCTAAGAGACGAAAGCATCAGATCTATACCGTGGTAAGTTAACCCATCTTTTTCTTTTATCTTGATGGTTTCTACCACTTTGGGGTAAGTCTTATTTTCACCATCCTATTCCTGCACCTGTTCATAATATCTTTATCTTATGCTCCTTGAGCTCCCATCAGCCTCTCAGGTAGCACTGAAGAACAGGAGAAAGGAGAGGTATTAAGTCAGTGTGAATTGTGCTATTTAGAAAAATAAACACATTAGATGCATCTGGAGAATTTCATTTTTTTCTGGCTATGGGGTGAGTTCTAGCTGTGGGTAAGATTGTCTATACTACGACAACATGAATTTCTTTATTCTCTCTGAGAAATGAAATAAGGAAATTATTGATTGTATTAAATTCTACAGCTTGGGAATTGCATACTTGTCTAGTTATTGTTGATATTAAAAATAGGGCATTTTAAACAAGAAAAGCTAAACTTGCAGTGTTTTGAGATTCTCTTTGCAGCATTTATCATGCTGGCAAGTTAAATAATTGTCTAATTAATTTATCTTCCTTATATTTACCTTTCTTAATAGACCATGAGTTTCATAAAGGTCAGGGCTTGTTTTTTTCTTTTTTACTGCTGTATTCACAATGCCTAGCTGAGTGCCTAGCACATAGTAGGTGCTCAATAAATATGGGAGGCTTCCAACGGCACACATTTTGATTTGTCTATTTCTCCCTCCAGTTCTATCAGTTTTGCTTCCCGCATTTTGTAGCTCTGCTGTTTGGTATCTACACATTTAGTATTGTTATATGTTCATAGAGGATTAGCCCTTGTGTCAATGTTGTTTTCTGTCTGTGATGAGTTTCTTTGCTCTGAAGTCTATCTGATATTAACATAGCCACTCTTGCTTTCTTTCAATTAATGTTTGCATAATATAACTTTTCTCATCCTGCCTTTATCATTAATTTTGAAGTGAGTTTGTTGCAAACAGCAAATAACTGGGTTATGTTTTTTTAATCCACTCCTCCAATTTCTGCCTTTTAACTGGTGGATTTAGATTACTGACATTTAATGTAATTAATAATGTGTTAGACATAAATGACCATGTTTTGTTTTTTATTAATTTCTCTCTTTTCTCTCTCTTGTGTTTCTTGAATGATTTTTAAATTTCTATTTTGTTTTATCTAGTGTTTGAGTGTATCTCTGTGCATAGCTTTTGTTAGTGGTTTCTGTAGGTATTGTATTATATATACATAACTTATGTTGGTTTAACTGGTTTCATCATTTTACTAATTGGAGTGAAGTATAGAAACCTAATCTTATTTTACTTCCTTTTACTTTCTCTTATTTAGTCTATATTATAATTTTCTTTCTTATTTCTCCTATATTTAGAACCATTTCATATAGTGTTATTTTTATTGATTTACTTTTTGGGGGCACTCCAATGATCAAGCATCATTTAGATAATTCAAGAGGGGAAGGAAAGTTTGTTGCTTTTGCTCATATTTTTACTTAGTACTAACAATAAAAAATAAACACTTAAAAAAAAACAGTGAAGGACCTCTTTGGCTAGAATGAGTAGTAAAGCCTCATTACTGCTCCCTCTGTCCTCCAGTGACTACAGTATGAATGGGGGGGAGAGGAGTGTCCTTGTTATTATTGGACTGTGATGAAAGTCCTGACTCACCATAAACCATTTCTGATACCACCCCTTTAGGGGGTAGATGGAGTTCCTCATTACCACTGAGCGGGGGCATAAAGAAGTCTAGACTCCCCATGTAGAGGAGGAAGAAACTTGGTTCTAACTGACAAGGATTCAATTCCCAGACCTCCAGAATTGGTCTCCTAGACGAGAGATTCCCAGACTGGTCTTCTCCGATACCACCCTGACCAGGGTTTGGGGCATCTTGTTACATCATAGCTGAATGGAAATGGGCCATGGTTTTTTTCTATTATTTGGCTTGGAGGAGCAGTATTGTTTATAGATATTGTGTCCTACGCTACCCCTTTGCTCATCTTTTGGTTAGAGGCAGCAGACTTCTAATGACAATTTAAAACAGAATTTTGTCCACACCATTCGGTCTGTCTGAGTTGTTAGGTTTTCAGGAGCATGCTTAGGACAGGTGAGGTTAAAGGAAAGCCCAGAGGCCTCTCCACTGTGTTGTTCCTTGAGGCCCAAGGTTTTGACACTGCTTTCTTCTTTCCTTCCTTCTACCATTCAGAATCTTTTTAGATGTGTTTTATACATAATTTCCAGAGTCTTTTAGTTGTACTGAGCAGAAGAAATAGGGAAAACTATACAACTCAATATTCCTACCATTGGAAGTCTCTTAAACTGACACTTTTTGTTTGTTGGTTTCAATCCAGGGCAAGAATAGGTCATTGTATCACGGACAGGGAAAACCCTGGTCCTCTTTGCAATCTGGTTATTAAACTATCTGAACAAATAAATAACCTTGGCTTTGATTTTCTCTTAATAAGCATAGTCTATAATGCATTTTTTATGTTTTGGGGTGCCACATTACTGTGGTTTTTGAAAACTGCCATTGGATTCCAGGGTGTGAGGCAGGGCTTGCTCAAGGAACATCACACTTGGATTAAAGGTTGTCTGTGGCTGGCTCGGTGGCTCAGCCTGTCATCGCAGCACTTTGAGAGGCCGAGGTGAGTGGATTGCCTGAGCCTGAGGGTTCGAGACCCACCTGGGTACCTTGGCGAGACCTCATCTCTACAATAAATAAAAAAATCAGCCGGGCGTGGTAGCGCACGCCTGTAGTTCCAGCTACTCGGAAGGCTGAGGTGGAAGGATCGCCGGAGCCCA